CGTGCTGTCAAACCTACACTAGCAAGGAGATCGGGCTGAAACTATAGCTACAAGCTATCCAAGGATGGTACTATAGAATGTCACCTCAAGGTAGGCCTAGTGGCGTCATCTCTTGGTTAGGCCGGAAACTTATCAATCCACCCTCGTATGCTGTTAATTCTAAATATTTCATTATAATTATGACCTTAGCAAAATAATTGCACAGTTAAAAATTTATTGATGTGTTTTCGTTTTTCACATTAATAAATGTTTATTAGGTATAAGAAAAATACAAATTCCTCATTAAATTCTGTTTTTGCTTAGTTACCTATAATAACGTTATCGGGTGCAAAGATATTAATTTTCGTTGAGATTCTCTTTTATCAACAAGATCTGTTTTTATTGTAGCAAGGGGTAAGGTAACTTTCAGGTTTCTTTAAAAAGAAGTATCTAGCAAACGACCACTTGTGTATAAAAATGAAAAAGAAAATCAATTTATAATAATATATAATAACATTATAATATCAAGCTTTATATTTGGTTTTAAACAATACACAAATTGAATAACAAGTAATCGAAATTAAAAATTAGATTTTTACATACGTCTGCTGAAATTTCATTAAAAGTGACAACATTTGGGCAATAATATTAGACCTCAGAGTTTGAGAATGTGCTGCTGGCTATGAGATCGGTATCGCTTTTGTTTCCCAGTGGCCTGTTGGATGTGCCACGTCTCAGACCATTAGCTACACAGGTTCCCTTCTTGTATTGAATATAAACAATTCCTAATATTATAATCAGAATAATAACAACAATACACAAACAAACAATCACGGCAATGTTCCCACTTCCAGCGCTGGATGTTGAAGGGTTTTTTTGGAGACGTTCAGAAATGAGTTGGTTTTTGTAATTATTCTGAGAGTTGGCAGGCTCGTTAATCTTCGTTTGGATTGAAGCGATAGTTTGAGATATGTTATGCATAAAGATGTCTAAAATAGTTTTCGTTTCTGTTTTCATGTTGTTCATGAACTTAACAATTTCCAAGTTGGGTGAACCAAGTGGAACATTTTGGTTAAGTTGAAGAGGCTGTGGATTAACACTATTTAGTCGTGGAGTATCTTGATTGACTGTCGAATGATTTGCTAAGTTTTGCAGAATATTCATGGTATTACTGTGCTCGATTCGTAATTCGTTTATTATACTTTCTAAAAGAATGTTTGTACGTTCTATTGAGTCGGATATGTTTTGGCCTGGCAAGTGGTACATGTCAGAGGATTTTGCGTTTATTGCACTGTTCTGCACTTTATCGGCGATGATTTGAATGCTTTCAGAGCTGTTTATGTTTGCGTGTATCAACTGCTCCATTAGATGGTTATTGTTTGAAATTCTTCCAGCGATTTCTAACAGAATATGGTTATATTGCAAAAATCTACTTTCATCAGTTTTATGTATTGATAGTCCACTACTATCATTTGTAATTGATGCGAATGAAGAATTTATGGACAGCTTAGTACATGGAATTCCAATTAAACTTCCTTCTTCATGGTAATTATTCCCTGGCTGGACTTGCACATTAATCATCCTAAATGCTCTAAAAATACTTAACAGCATGTCGCATGTCCAGTTGTTTTCATGTAAGTAGATTTCTTTCAAATTTGGCAAATAAATTGTCAATTCATCTGTATTTAGAGAACTAATGTAATTGTATGCTACATTTAATTCCACTAAATTACTAAGATAATAAAGATTATTCGATTTAAATGTGGTAAGTTGATTATGAGAAACATTGAAGTAAGTTAAGCTATCAAGTCCAGATAATATCCCTGACGAAATATCTGTTAATATGTTATTAGAAATGTCGAGTACAATTAGCATTGAAAGATCTTTGAATAAATATGGTGGAAGGTACTTTAATCTATTGCTATTTATATACAAATACTTTAGTTGTACTAAGTGGTCGAATGTACTAGCGTTAAGTGTTTCTAAATAATTTCTTGAAAGATCAATCTTTTGAACATTATTCAAAGGTGAGAATAAATCATCAAGTAAGAAGTACAGATTATTACCATTTAAAAAGAGTTCTTTCAGATTTATAAGGCCTTTAAAAGAATCTTTATGAATTGTGTGTAGCTGATTGTTAGAGAGATATAACGTTGTTAAAGTCGGAAGATTCCGTAGTACTCCTTTTTCAAGTACTTCAATGTTGTTTCCATCCAGTTGTAATATATTGAGTTCTTTTAGGCCTACAAAGCAGCCTACCTCTAAAATTGTAATACCAGCTGCTTTTAAGGAAATCTCCTTTAGATTATACAACTTGTTAAATGTTAACGCTGGAAGTGTATCAAGATGACTATTCATAAAAGAAATTTGGTCAATGTACTGTGGATTTGATTGCCATTTCTCAAAGAATCCTTCAGAAATTTCAGAGACATTATAGCAATTCAATGTCTTTAGATGTTCATAATCACCATAATGATACTTTCTTACCATTTCTTCTCTTATGTTAGTATTGCAGTTTGGATTGTTTTCTTCTGCATCTTGACAGTCTGAGGCCAATAAAAACAATTGGAAAATGATAATTTTCAGTGTGATACTCATCTTCTTTTCTTAAACAAAAAATAATTTGATTTAAAGAAAAAAATAATGCAGCTACTAATTTGAAATCATTTTTTATTTACTCACTACAAACTACCTCAAATTAATGAGGGAAAAATTGTTGTTGTTGTCACACCCCCGTCGGGAATTGAACTCGGGACCTGTGGCTTTACGCATCAATGTTCTGACCACCAAACTCATATTGCATATTAATCCACCATTAAGTAACTAACAATGTCATAGGATTTCATATAAATAATGCAGCTGTTGGGCTAGTACATAGTTGGAGGTAATTGCCTGTTCGGTCATGGAATGAATTACTTTTCTTAACGTTTCGCCGTTATTCGTTGACAATTGTCAGGGTTTCGTACGTCCAAATGAAATACGGAACCCTTATAAGACCACTCGAGTGTCCGTCTGTCCGTCTGTCCAATAAGAAATTAACAAAAGAAAAGTTTTGCAAACTGTACCGTGTGACTAATCAAATGAAAGGGCTTGTTGTAAGGGTCTCAAATATATTTTTTTAAATAAATAGTTTTGAAGTTGTTTAAGAAAATAGATGAAAGCTGACCATTCGCTACAACTACTGAACTTAAAATTTTGAAAAAAAAATAGAAAATGGTTCTTTACTTTTAGATTATGGAAAAATTAATAAGAAGTCTAAAGTGTATAAATAACGTAGTAAATCTTTTAACAAAACAATATTGTACGTACTTACATTTGCAGTTTCAATTTATGGGAGAAGATTTTTTTGCAACTACAATGTCAAGTTGGTTCTCCTGTTAGGGTTCTGTACGTCCGAAACGAAACCCTTTTAAGATCACTCGTTCGTCTGTCTGTCCGTTTATTTTAGTAATGCTTTCCTAGCCCCATGGAAGAACATTTAAACGCCCGGAAAAGTATCAATCTACGTCAGGTGGTTTAAGAATTTTATAACTAAAAGAAGAAAAATCATTTCACACCGTGTGGATTATTATTTTTAAAAATATGTTTAATTGTAGACCTATATAGCATCAACCAACATAAAAAATTTTATACGAGAATGTTTTCTGTTTGCATTCTATTATAGGATTATACAAAAGAATTACAATTTTGTAAATATTATTAACAAATTGAACAATTAATTTAACACTACCGTTTCGGTTATAAGTAGAAACTTGGTAGCACAGCATCCGGTCACGATTTCCAACATTGCTTCTACATGATCTCACATCAGGCTACTATTATAGCACGGCATGCGAGGTCTGTTCAAAAAGTACCGCGAATTTTGTGTTTTTTCAAAAATTATTTACTTTTTCATAAATATCTATTTTATGCTCTTCAAGGTAATCCTCACCAGGTATTATACAGTTGTGGCACTTCAAAAAATCATTTCGTTCGATGGTGTCTTGTTCTTCTCAATCGTAGCGTAGTGTCGTCCGTTCATGGTCCGTTTTGGGAACAAGAAAAACACACAGGGGAAGAGATCTGGGGAATACGGTGGCTGCGGCATTATTGATGTGTAAGCAGGGCGTTATCACGGTGCAAAAGCCAACTTTTGTTCTTCCACAAATCCGGGCGTTTCTGGTAGATTACTTCGCGCAAATTTCGTATAACTTGCAGGTAATATTCCTTATTGACCGTTCTCCCTGTGGCAAGAACTCACGATGCACCACGCCCCTGCAATCGAAGAAAACCGTATCCTTACATTCTAACATCCTAACCTAACCTAACTTGGGGCGCTTTTTTCGGTCTTGCCTCGTGCGGCAGCTTCCATTGGGATGATTTAGCTTTGGTTTCCACGTCATAGCTATAAACTCATGATTCGTCACCAGTTACGACCCTCTGGACCACATGTTGGTCGTTACGGACAGAGTCGAGCGGCTGCTTAGCAATGTTAATGCCATGTTGTTTTTAGTCGAAATTCAGTAATATTTGAGAACATTTTGTACTACCGATAAACGTTGCTTCGGTCCAACGTAGTTTCACCACATGCCACAGTCAACATCGCATTCCGCGCACTTAATTTTGTATTCCACACAAAATTTGATACAGATTCCATGATTATTTTTTAGAATAGGCAAAAATCGAAGACGAGTCAAAACACGTGCAAGCAAAGCAGCTGTCAAAAATTAACTGAACATTCATTCGGTATAAGTGAGAGGCATGTATACCACCATAACGCCACAAAAGAAATCGAAAAAATTCAAAATTCGCGATACTTTTTGAACAGACCTCATATGAGGAAAAGGTCCCGCTACGAACGATTGATCTGATCAATTTATTTAAAAAATCACAAACTAATTCAAAGTAACTAAAAATCGGTTTTTAAATATTTTTTTATTTTAATTGATGCAGAATAATTTTTTTATACGTATATTTTGAATTCAATCAACAATATTTGAATAAATGTCATATAAATCTTTAAGCTTGAAGGATGTAGATATAAAATTTTCTCTATTCAATTCTAATGACTACAAAAAGTTAAACTATTAAGGGAATTCAAATACAATTTAAATTTTATGAGAACTCAAGAAGCATGCGTTACAATTGACTTTTATTTGTTATAATAATAAATTGGAGATTCTTACCACAACGACGACGAAAATATTAATAAAATCACTATCCTCTGTCTTATCCTCTCATGCAATACTGACTATTTTGTTGCTAATATTGAATTAAAATTGTGGGGAAGTCCAAAGATAAACAACGATAAACGTACTAATCAGAAGCCTTGAAAAAATTACTTCTTAATGAACCCACGTATTTTCTGCTGACTGTGATATTCTTATCGCTTAGTGTATGTAGCATTACGTATTATGAAAATAAAGTTACAAAAGTTCAGGTTTTTTTCGACTATCGTTTTAAAGAATTACTTTGCCTACCATTTGAAGATACTAGAACCGTGTGTGCTTGCGAAACGTCTAACGATAATAAGTTTTTACAAATAGGGACCTTAATCAATTGAATAGTTAAAATTTATCAAAATTGAATACGCAAAACGCCTTTAAATATTTCATTTGTTTTATTCAAACACTTGTTGGAATGCCTACTTGTGATACTGTATGTTGGGCTGCCTACAAATATGTGACAATATCACTACATAGTATAAAACAAAGTCACTTTCCCGCTGTCTGTCCCTATGTATGCTTTAATCTTTAAAACTACGCAACGGATTTTGATGCGTTTTTGTTTTTAAAAGATAGAGTGGTTCAAGAGGAAGGTTTATATGTAAAATAGATGCATAATATAGTAGGGAAACACTGATAATTTTAGAGGTTTCTAATGTGATGTCGTAAATAAACACATTTTTTGCGCTTACATTGCAAACGCTGGCTGAACCCTACGAGATAGATGAAAATAATGTACTACAATATTGTACATCTTAAAAGAGTCTACAAAAAGTCCGGGATGGTATATATCTATCTCTTAGGGATAACCCACAATAACCATTTTTATCCTTTACTTTTTATGAGAAATAATGACTTATTTACGAAGCGACTGTAGGCAATACAGCATTAATTCTTATCCAATTAAGTACCTTAAACACATTGTGCATTTAATATAGATTGCATTGCAGCATTGCACCCGTGCGAAGCTGAGGCGGGTCACTAGTTCTTAATAAAACAATAACATTAGCTCGTTATTAGAAAATTAAGAATCATTTAACGGTAACGGTAATGACCATTGCACTCGTACAGTATAGAATAGTCTCAGTTTCTGGCATTGATGATGGAACATTCTGGTAAACAAGGATTTAGAGAAGTAAATAGATAACTTATTGCTTTCCAGGGAACAGAGGCGACAACAAAGCTAATTAAGGATTATATCTGTTAGGAAGAGTGATAAAAGGCCGACAACAAGAAAGGAAAATCGAATGTCCAAATAAACTACAGAAACCATTATTCAGGCTTAGGTTTGATGAAACTTGTTATCCTACATCAAATTATTTGGGATGATTGGTAGAAATTTACTTTTATGTAGAAATTGTTGCAGTAACTCACTACAAAATTACAATGGTTATTCTTTGTCTGATTATATATCATTAGGTACACCGTTCAAATAAATAAATAATAAATCGTTTCACGAAATGTCAGGGGTGAAGTGTAATAATTTATTATACATTAATTTAACTCCCAAATACTATTTAAAAGCATTTAATTTATGATTTATTAATTAATAAATAGTTAATTAAACGCGGAAGCAGTTAAGGAGCTACTTTAAAGTTTAAAATAAAAACCTTTTTAATCATTAAATATCTTAAATTCATTCAACATATCATATATATCCGAATCTTTTGTTTTATGAACTACTAGCTTTTCCCGGCGGCTTTTCTCGCAGAAATTAATATTGTTTTTCCATAAAACCTTTTAACTCCTAATTCGCCCTACAACGTTTTAACTTTATGTAACGTCGTCATCTTAGATTTCAAATACAAACGTAGCAACAACATTTCATCCTTAAGGGTTGATTTTTAAAAATTGCCAAAACACATCTTTGCTTAATTTCAACAATGAGCAACCTTCGAGTAAATCCGAGTACAAATAAAATATACCCCATGGAAACGTTGCAACCACTTTTCATTTGATTAATAATATCAAACAGCATATATACCAAGTCCAAACAAAAATTGCAACACCTTTTTACCCCTCCCCACCCTTCGTAGGTTGAATTTTTTAAAATGTCGAGATAGGTCTTTCAGAAATAAATGAGAGACAATTAAGACCGCGTTTCAAGTAAATCTGACCACAAATAATATATGTTCCATTTAAACTTTGCAACTCATCACCACTCATCCCTCCCAACAGAGATTGAATTTTTTAACCAGTTTCAAGTAAATCGGACCAAAAACGAATATGCAATCTTTGCAAACCCCTTTCAGCTTCCTAAATAGGTAGAATTTTGTAAAATGTTGAAACAGGTATGTACCTATGTCACTAATGTTATATGAAAATGCATTAAAGCCAAGTTTCAGGTATATCTGACTATAGATAAAACACCATACTTAACCATAGACAACATTACGTTTAGCTGTCAGTTGCGTTTTGTTATACTATTTTTAACAAATGAACGGCTGGACTGATGTCTTGATTTTTTGTTTTGCTGTCAGTTGCATTTTGTCATTCCATGTCAGTTGCGTTTTCTTATACTATTTTTTTTACGTGAACGGGACAAAAAATATACTATGTCCTTCTCCTGGTTCTAAGGTGCCTTCCCACCAATTTTTAGCCAAATCGGTTCAGCCGTTCTTTAGTTATAAATAGTGTAACTAAGATGACTTTCTTTTATATATATAGATAGACGAATACTGATCAAAAACAAGATTTAGAGATTTTCACTTTGAGACTGTTAAGACCGTATATGTCTTGGTTAAGGAAGAAGTTGATTTTATAAGCTGATTCATATACATATACAAAAGTAAAAGAATAAACTGATAATAATGTTCGCAATAGTATTCGATGGGTAAGTTACTATTTCCCAAAGTTTGAAATAGATTATTAATTAATGTAACTGCTGAGATAAACTGTAATTGTTTACAATTCCAGCAGAAGCTACTATTTGAACATTAAAATAATTCGAAGTGGTCTATATTCTGTCGAAACTGCCATCGATCTTTTTGAATCTCATCAGCGCGTCGTAGACAGCTCCGACAGCATCGTGCTACAGATGGCGTTTACTGCGCTATTTGTAGTATTTTCTAAAACGCACTGTTAAGACAGCAGGTAAAAGTTTGTCTGTGTTCTATCGGAGCTGCCTGCGACGCGCTGATGAGATCCGAAAAGATCGAAATCGCGATCCGCGTCTGGCAGTTNTTTTTAATAATAGATATTAAGGTTCTTTCTTGTTAAGAAGATTTTTTTTAAGAAATAGTAATGTCATAGAGATAAACAATTTATTTTTAATAATATAATAATGTCATGTTTTTTCACCACTGAATTTTATACGTATACCTAGTATAGAACTTACACAATACGTAAACAAAATTAAAAATAATATTTTCCCTTATGTTTCTTTGATTTACATTAAAAAGATGTTTTTAAATTCATTAATCTTAGACTTCAGAGTTTGACAATGTCGTGCTATTGGCAATAAGATCCGTATCGCTTCTGTTTCCCAGAGGCCTATTGGATGAGTAACGTCTCAGGCCATTAGCTATAAAAGGTCTTTTCTTGTTATGAACATACGATATTACTAAGATCATAATCAGAATTATAACGACAATACATAAGCATACAATCACAGCAATGTTTCCATTTCCAGTGTTCGATTCCGAAGGGTTTCTTTGGAAACGTTCTGAAATGACTTGGTTATTTTTATTATTCTGGGGGGTGACAGCGGGTTCATTTATCTTTGCTTGCATTGAAGCAATGGCTTGAGACGTATTCTTCATGAAGATATCTAAAATAGTTCTTGATATTTCTAACTCTGTTTTCATGTTGTTCATGAACTTCAACATTTCCAAATTTGATGATGAAGGTGGAACATTTCGATCAACAAGAGGGAGCTGTGGATTTACACTATTTAGTCGTGGAAGATCATCATTTACTTTTGAACGATTTGCCGAGGTTTGGATTATATTCACGATGTTGTTCCATTCCATTCTTAATTCACTTAGTATATTTCCTAAAAGATTATTTGTACGTTCTACAGATTGGGACATGTTTTGGTTTGGTAAATAGGAAGTAACCGAGGATCTTGGGTTTATTGCAATTTTCTGTACGTTTTCGGATATGGTTTGGATGCTTTTAGAGCTGTTAAGGTTCGCGTGTATCAACTGTTCCATGAGATTGTTATTGTCTGAGATTTTTCCGACGATTTCCAATAGAATATGATTATAGTGAAAATATCGACTTTCGTCAGTTTCCTGTGTTGATTGTCCATTGTTTCCATTTGTAAAAGATGCGAAAGAGGAATTGATGGACGGACCAGAGCATGATATTCCAATTATATTTCCTTCTTGGTATTGTTTTCCTGGCTTAATTTGAACGTCAGCCATTCTGAATGTTTTAATAATATTGAACAGCATGCCACATGTCCAGTTATTTCCATCTACGTAGACTTCCTTTAAATTTGGCAGAAAGATTGCCAATTCATCTGGATTTAAGAAACTAATATTGTTGTAAGCTAATTTTAATTCTTTTAAATTACTAAGGAAGTAAACATCATTTGCCTTCAATGTGGTAAGCTGATTATGAGAAACATTCAAGTGAGTTAAGCTATCAAGTCCAGGAAATAAATCAGATGAAATATTTGCTAAATAGTTTTCAGAAATGTCAAGTAAAATGAGCTTTGGAAGATCTTTAAATAGGTATGATGGAAGATGTTTTAATCTATTGTTATTTACATATAGATACTCCAGCTCTGATAAATGATAGAATATATCAGAGTTAAGTGCTTCTAAATAATTTCTAGAAAGATCAATCGTTTTAATTTTGCTCAAAGGTGAAAATAAGTCGTCAGGTAAGAAGTGAAGTTTGTTGCCTTCTAAAAAGAGTCCTTCCAGATTTCTAAGGCCGTTAAAGGAACCACTATGAATTGCGCGCAACTGATTGTTCGACAGACGTAAAGTTATTAAACTTGGAAGATTGTTTACAATTCCTTTATCTATATCTTCAATGTTATTTCCATCTAGTCGTAATATTTGGAGGTCTTTTACACCTAGAAAGCAGCCTACCTCTAAAGTTGTAATACTAGTATCGTTTAAGTAAATTTGTTTTAAATCAGGTAACTCGTGAAACGTCAACGCTGGAATTGTATGAAAGTAGCTATTCGCAAAATAAATTATATCTGTATCGTAGTTTGAATCTCGCCATTGGACAAAGAATCCTTCATAAATGAGAGAGCCACTAGAGCAAATCATTGTCCTTACATTCACATGGTAAGGATTCCCATGTAAATCAAATCTCAGTTCTTGCGGCCTATGTTCAAAATCGCAATGTGGTTCGTCTTCCATTTGACAGTCTGCAGTCAGTAAAAGAAACTGGAGGATGGTAGTTTTCAATATGATATTCATCTTGTTTCCTTAAAAGAAAAATATTTTGCGTTAAAGAAACATTAACGTAGTTATTAGGCTTTTATGGTCTGGGTAAGTTTCCTTGTTGGGTTTGTTCAAAGAAACTTCCTAACGTTTCGTCCCCCCATTCAGACGTTCGAAAAGTTTTAGGATTCCGTGTATCACATCATAATATCTCAAGAGGTTTAAAATTAGTAGGAGTGCAGTTTCTTTTAAATAGTTTAAGGTTGTATGTATATAACGTCAATTTGCATGATGTATATTATAAAAGTAGGTACACGAATGTTTTATGTTAAATAATTTGGTTACCGTTTCTATTGTAATTAGAGAATTGGCAACATGGCCGTCAACATAGTCTGCGGTTAAGGAGCTACTGAATGTCAAAGGCGAATCCCACGTTGACAAATTTCGTATGACCATAACTTTTAAATAAGATACACACATATTTTTGTGAAATTATCGGCTACCCTACAATTTTTTTAGGCTTTAAAAATATCCAAATTGTACGAAGTAATCAAAAATCAATAAAAATAAAAAAAACATAAATCTTTGGAACAACATTACGAATTTCTCAATTTTCTTTTAAATTTAGACGGAAAGACATTGAAATAATGGTGACTTCAAAATGGATTTTGACATATACTTATGGTTTCAATCGATACAAAACATTTTACTTATAATACACATATTCTGAATTCAGAAAATAATATATGGGATTTTAAAAAACCATCGCATTCACTATACTATGTATATCATCGGAAAAATAGCGAAATTCGAAGAAAAAGGTTACTAATACTATTTTGGATGCATTCTCATTGAGTCATTAAGGATCAATGTTCACTCAAAATAATAGATAGCACCATGGGCGTACCCAGGGGGGAGGATAGGGGAGGGCAGCTGCCCCCCCTGGAAATCTTGCATAAAATATATGAACTCGCCTAATCACTAATCACAGTGTAAACGGGGCCTTATATGCTCACTTTTGAATAAAATAGTAGAAGTCGAATTGAACAATTAAAATAAAATAAAAATGCATAGTCAAATTTACTTTTATTTATTTAAGGATGTTTGGGAGGTACAATCGGAGACAGGAGTACATAAAATTAGAAATTCGTGATTAATTAGGTTTTGCAGCATATCATGAGGTAAATAAATACTATCTATACTAAAAAAAA